TAAGTCTATCGCTGCAGCGATACTGATGGTCAGCGCTTTCCCGCTCTCAAGCGCTTAGCCGAAGCCGTGAGCCGATGACAACAGTCAGTACTGTATGAGTACGCGATCAGATACAGTACATGTTGCAATATTCAGTAATACAGTATTACTTCCAGTACTAAACAGTATATGATTGTGATTGCCATCAATTGGTGAGGCACTGGCATCAGACCCGGGCATCTGATCGGATGTGATGTGCGTTATTTCATTAGGATAGAGGGGTTTATATATCAAGGGGTAGGGGTCAGGGGTGCCGCTGGTGATGGGGAGGCGGCCATTACCCCGCGCTCGTAGATTATATAGCCAGAAACTAAAACAACATTGATAGATTTAGTTGAATGGGCTGGAAAACGGTCCAAACAATAGCATTATAATGTATGCTTGGAGTTAATGGTTAGGTATCAGTGAGTTTTGTGTGCATATAATTTAGTCGAGAAATATATAATGTATATAAAAATAATATTACTTATTGAAAGTTATAGCAACAAATAAATATATGTATAAAAACGCAAACTTGTAATCTGATGGTAAAAATTAGACACCGAGTTCGGCCCCCACCCCAACCCACACACCCAACCCGCTGGCCATCTAATATACTGGTGGCTACTGATGGTTGAGTGCCAATCCTCATCGATGAATGCTCCCAAGTGTTACGGCTGTCACAAAGCCATTAAAGAGCGGTATCTACTCAAAGCACTCGACCACCTCTGGCACGAAGATTGTCTCAAATGTGTTTGTTGTGACCGTCGTCTCGGATCCACTTTTTTCACTAAAGCTGATCTAATACTATGTAAACGCGATTACTTCAGAATGTTTGGGGCGACCGGTCTGTGTTCTGCGTGTAATAAACACATCCCAGGGTTTGAAATGGTTATGAGGGCAAGAAGAAATGTATATCACCTGGAATGTTTCAAATGCAAAGCCTGTTCTCATACGTTTTGTGTCGGCGATCGCTTCTACTTATACGACAATAAGATATTGTGTGAATACGATTACGCGGAGCGGATGGTATTCACAAACCTTAATTAAATGACTTCTATAGATCACAATAAGGGGCATATGAGAGTCGGTTGAGGTGTGCGAAAGGTCCAGCGGTCACGCGAGTGGGCACTCGCTTTTTTTAACCTAATCAGACAAAAACAATAAATAATTGTATAATAATAAACACGTTTGTCAAACCAATGTGTCAGTCAACTAATAATACACATCATAACTTACAACTTGATTTTATAGAAACATACATTTAATTACGGCAACAAAAAAAAAAACAATAAATAATTGTATAATAATAAACACGTTTGTCAAACCAATGTGTCAGTTAACTAATAATACACATCATAACTTACAACTTGATTTTATAGAAACATACATTTAATTACGGCAACAAAAAAAATTCTCGTTTAATATATCATTGGAAAAATTTAAGCCATAAAATTAATTATAAGAAAACCATTTGAGAAAATAGTTAAAAAGCAATTAATGTAAGACTAATGCAATTAAAAAAATACTTTGTTTTAAACAAGAATTATTTCGTTACTTGAAAAACATTTCATTCAATTATTAAAATGTTTTAAAAATGCAATAATTTTATGTAAGTTTAGTACCTTTCAGTGCAATCCCTTATACAGTGTTTTATATCAATATTTTGCGCACATTTTCATCTCCTACAACATTTTACAAGCAATTATCGATTAAAAAGACAGACAATTATAATTAAATCATTGAATCGACAGTAAAAAGCTGTGAATTCTGTCATATAGTGTCGAATAGCTATCGATATTACAGTGAATGCCGTAAAACACTTTCTCATGCGTGCAGTCTTTCTGTCCGTATAATAATGTAATTGAAAATTAAAATACCATTTAATTAATTACTTAATTGTTTACATTTATGTTTCAATTAAAAATATATTTATTGTATTTTTCTTTCGTTTATTGTTCACTAAAAATTCAATTTACTTTTTTTTGTAATCAAATTTTAAATTTATTATTTATTTTTGTCTACACTTTAATAAATAAATGAAATAAATTACAATCTGCTTAATCTATAAATAATAAAATAGTACCATAAATAGGAAATCGTACACAAATAAAATGTTTTTAAAAATAAAACAAACAGAAAATAGAGGTTTAACTGTATAATAATGAAAGAAACGTTGTGATAAATTGAGTTAATAATAACACCATATATCGTTGGTTTAATTATATATTTTATTTAATGAAAGTAATACATAATTATTATTAAACAATTATTTATTGTTCCCACACATAAAGCACACACATTTTTGCTTATTTTGATGCTTAAGAATAAAATGCCGATCCAAACTAATCTGCCTTGAAAAGGATTTATAGCAATGTGTGCATTCCAGCCTTATTATTGGATCAGCGTTCAGATCCACAATAGTATTGTCCCAATCGGTAATCTTAATTAGTAATTACTATATTAATTATAATTGTAAAATAAATAATCAATAATAGTAAATTACTAACCTTGTATAGTTGACGAGTAGGGGCTGATGTGCCGGCAACAGCTATTAAATTACCATGCTCATCTGCGGTCACAGTGGCCGCACGGCTGTTATTAATAACGTTATCGCATGTTTTTAATATTTTCTCATATTTTTCTAAACGCATAGGGTTTTTTTGCAAAGACTCTAAAAACTCTATCGCTTGTTGTGAAGGGTCCAACATTTTGATAACAACTATTAATACAGTATCAAATAACCTTATACCAAATTTTCAAGCAATTAGTAAATAATAGATATACACAGCGCATACTCTATTACATATACTAGCATAGTACAATAAGTAAATATTCATTACATCCTATTGCTTTGATTATATCAAAAAGAAACATACTAATTAAAATCCATATAACTAGTTATGCTGTATTAAATAAAATAATTGCTCTCATAAAAAACGAGTTAATATTAGCAAACAACTATATTGAATAACTCCAAATTATTAAAATTGAATAGGAAATGATCATTGATTGACTATAATAAAAGTTTAAAATGTTTATTTTATATTAAATTGTTATTAATAAGTTTAACATTTTGTTATTATTTAAATATTATTAATAATTTATAGAATATATGACACAACAAATATACATAAAAATTGTACAAAACACGACATAAAATAAATTATAAAGAGAAATGATAACTATATTAAGCAACAAAATAGATCATAATTAAAATGAAAATGGTTGCGATGAATTAGACCAAGATTGTTCGTGCGGTACAATAGCCCGGCCGCCCGGTATTGGGCTTACGGTTAGACAGAGTCCCCAAAAACATGAGTATTTCTCACGCAAACCAATTCGCCAGATATAATGACAGCATTTTTAAAACATAACGAGCACTTGACCCGTGTCTGGTACCAGTGCTCCGAACCATACAACCTGTTGGTCAGCAATCGGGTCCGCGAATGTCGGAGCGGTAAATGGATGGGAAGTGTTTCCCGATGTGCTATCAATTACGGGAACCAAACTGAACTGACATTAATGGAAATACTAGAACACGACATAAAGGCCACGATTATGGTCGCGAAAGTCGCGAAACGATACAAATCTGTCGGTGCGTTCACACCCCCGATGACACCGATAGGCCGTCGACTGGTCGACTGTCTAAACTGGCGCACAGGGCCTCAGCAACAGTGGATTCTGGCACTCAATCACGCTGTAGACGTACAGCATATACGGCTTACACTGTATGGCCAGAACTTGCGAGATATGTGGACAGTGCCTTCAATATGGACACAATGGACAGTATGGCATACCATAGCACTTACCAAAGTCACAACTACTTAACCATTGAATACCAATGCGAGACTGGAATATTATTGATATCGCTGTGCGAACTCCGTGTATATCATTTTGGCCGCGCGTGTGGCGATCCCGACATACCTGTGTTAGCGCAGGTACGGCGGCCTGAGATCGTGCCCAAAGAGATCGTTGAACAGTGGGAATACGTATGCAATGATTACGATTATACTTTAGATGGCAACACTCAGATCAGGTGCGGACCAAACGGCAAATGGCTGGACGAGTTTCCTAAGTGCCTAATTCTGGCCACCTGTAATGCCATCTCATTTGACCTGTTAGCAATGATTACGATTATACTTTAGATGGCAACACTCAGATAAGGTGCGGACCAAACGGCAAATGGCTGGACGAGTTTCCTAAGTGCCTAATTCTGGCCACCTGTAATGCCATCTCATTTGACCTGTTTAATAAATCGATCGAGGTGAAATACGAGTCGGTGATTTACGGCGCTGGGGACGAAGTGAATGTACCCAATCGATGACAGCTTATCGATCGCTGAATTAATTTGATCGGACGCACATTTGATAAATTATTGGCAGAAGTTGTTGACCAAAATCATAATAAAATTAACGGCAACGAAGTGGCAAAAATTTTAAATAAAATACAAACTAATAGTGAATACGATTTGAGTAAAGATTTGGTGAATCAGATCCAGAAGAATGAACGGATGATAAGATCATTGGTGGGAATTGTTTACGAAAATTATATAACAAATAGTGGTATAAATATCACCGAAATTAACATGAATAACAGTTTTATGGCCAAAGATGTGGAACAGATTTTCACACATTTTCGTATATTTCCCTTTGAAGTCGATTACAAACTGATTGTTAAAAGTAAACAATCGGTAAATAAATTGTATAGAGAAAGGGCTACTGAATGGCGACTTGAAAATGACCTACCATTAAAACCGTCGCATTTGGTTATAATGAGATACTCACAAGATTTATGACAAATGGATTTAAATAAATTTAATCAATGCGTCTATGATTCCATAAACAACAATGGATTCTTGTTATTTGTATTTCGGTATAAGTTTACGGGACCGGAGATTGCGTTCATGTCTTTGACGGGAAATACTATTTCCAGTAATAATGAATTGGATTTAAAAATCAAAAAGTTTGTATCGATTGCCACTAAAACTGGATTTAATTTAATCGCAGCAAAAAGCGATACAATCGGTACTAACGTTTAGGAAAAATCATTCACAAACCGATAGCACCTGAAAAACACAATGTTATCAAAATAACTGGTGATTATCAACAATGGTTTGAAGTATTGCAAAGAAAACGGATAACGTATGGCTTGTGTCTCAGGACTCGTATATTAATGGTATCATTGGATTAATGACTTATTTGCGATTAGAACCCAGAGGAGAAAACTTCAGCTACATCTTCCATATGGACACCAATAGTGGAACAAACATTGATTTCAATACTAAACCCTATTTTGATATATTGGACAACAATTTGGTCGCCAATGTTATCAAAGGGGGAAAACTGGAAACTTCCCAATGATTTTGATAAATGCGTTTCAAATAATTATTATCTAAACTCCGGCACAACGAGAGATTTAGCAGGTATTCAATGGTATGATTCCCGGAAATTACCCGAAATTACAAAGTATTAGTATGAGAATAACGAAGAGATGTCCAAAACTCGGGTTAAGATATATTGTTCGGACATTTCATTTCACGACGTTATCATCGCTTCAGGTCGTATACCTGTCGGTCCGGTACAGATGTTTACCGATTGTGTGATGGGCTGTGAATACGTGGGCCGTCGCGTGGATTCCGGCGAACGCGTGATGGTTATGGATATGGGCCGTACTTTTTACACATCATTGAACGCCAGTATTCATAGCATGATTACAGTTTCCGAGTCGATGGCTTCTATATTGAGCACATATAGCACACTGTATTACGCGCTCATTAAACGGGCTAATCTTAAAACGATGTGAAAAAGTATATTAATACATTCCGCGGCATAAGGTGCGGGTCAGGCGGTCATCAATATGTGTAAGCATTACGACTGCGATATCTATGCGACGCTTGGGACGGAAGAGAAGAAACCGTTTTTGGTGAATGAATACAATATACCGGAGAATAAGATATTAAACTCAAGAGATATATTCAGGAATCAAGTGTTGAAACTGACGGCTGGAAAGGGAGTGAATATTATGTTGAATTCATTGGCGGGCGA